GGGTGCGCGTGACGCGCGCGCGCGGTGGGGCTCCCTACGGGGCCACGAAACGTGTGAGGAGTGTGCCGAAATGGGTGCGCGTGACGCATCGAGGAGGGGGATGAGGGTCGGGCGGCCCGTCGGATGCGGGAGAGAGTGATCTATGGAGGCAGGGGGTGAACGGACAAGGCGAAAAAGGAGCAGGGAAAGGTAGCGAAGGAGGGAAAGAGGGAGGGTTGGGTGGAAAAGGGAGCGGAACATGATTTTATAGGATGCTTAGGGACCGAAGCCAACTATAAATGATATCAAAATCGGTCATGTTTTCTGGAAACTGACGAACTCTCCCGGGCCCACTTCAAATGTTGGGTCGCCGACCTGACCCCCCCCGACAGAGGCTGTCACAGACAGGTCCCGCGCCCCAGCCGTCACTGTCACACGCCGCCCCCCCGACACTGTCACAGACGTCGCCGTCCGCACCTTGTTGGGCACCACCCGTTCCCCGGTTGGAGGTTATAGAAATGCTGGAGAACCAAGGAAGAGGAACACCCAGAGGTAAGCCCAAGCTTCCAGGGCTCCTGTTGAGACCTCAAGGGCCTCGGGGGGATCCCATCACCAGGGATCGACAGGTGTCTCGCCGCGCTCCACGTCTCCGATGGAGCCCAGCATATAGCACACATGTGCCCCTGGACCAACATCGTTTTCCACGTGCCCACCGCATCGGTTTGCGCAAGACTCCCTTCGCACTCGTTGTGAGAGACCGGACAACACAGCAGTGCGCCAAGGGGAAGGGAGGCCTCATGTGCTCGACGTGGTCCTGGGCGCCCCTGCCAGGACGGGTGGAGAACGAGAAGGCGGTGCTGGCGCGGGGGCGGGCGCGCTCTGATGGCCGCCTGGGCCACAGGAGGTGGATCCCGAGGGAGCCCAGCAGGGGGGGGGGGGGGGGGGCCACAGTGCCGCAGCAGGAGCAGGAGCAGGGGCCGGGCACGGAGCGGCCCAACAGCTCGAGCAGGGCGCCGCTCCGCAGGTGTGCTGGAAAAGCCTCGTGCGCCCGCGGCCGACAGATGCTCCCAGGCTTCCACGCGCGCCGCTTCTACATGCTCGGGGAGGGGTCGGGTATGGTGCGCGCGCAGTCCTCAAGCACTTCGGACACCTGCGGAAGTGCTGATGTGATAGCCCGCTCAAATCGTGCGAAAATCATTCATGCAGGCCTGGCAGACTGGATGGTCAACAAGCCCCCAAGGCTCCCCTTGCGAAGGGCGAAGGGTGGTACTTGGCACGATGTATCGCTAGGGTCCGTGCTGTCGCAAGTACCTTACTGCGATGCGCACAAGAAAACTGCGGATAAGGGTGGCCAGTTAGGCGACGTCGCAGGAAGGCGGGGCACGCGTGCGAGCTGTCCCTGGAGCTCCGTGTCTTCCAGATCTGATGTAATGCGCCTTTGCCATGGCAGCACGAGGTAACGGTCCTTCCGATTGCGCCTGGCCTCAGCCGTAGCAGTAGCTATGGTCGCCAAAAGGGCTTGAGGTGCCGCGCGGGTTTCCTGAAACCAATCCCTGCTGGGGCCCCGGATGTCCTGGTAGCTATCTATAACCACCGTAAGTGGGCTGTCAGCAAGGCCGTCCACGCGTCCTTCGAATGCCAGACGACATCGTCGAAGACACGCAAAGCTGGGGGCCTCTGCTGGAGAAAGCGGGCGAGGTATCTTAACCAAGCTAAAGAGGCAATTTCATGCCATGGCAGACGCTCCACGTGCGCGAGGAGATCGATGTGCACCACATGTGCGACCGCAGACTTAGCGTCAACAACATGAAACACGGTGCGATACATGCGCGCGTGCGCCGTGCTGACCTTTGCCCTCAAACTGCGGTTCAAAGGGGCCCAGGTAGGGGCAGCGTAAAAAAGGTGAGTGCAGGGAAGGACCTCAACGTGTATTACGTTGGAGGCGTCAGAAAACTGGGGGCGGGGGGCAATTGCACTCTTTATGGGCTTCACAGCCTCTCGTATGCCTCTGCCATGGAACCGGTATTCATGATCCTCGCGCCTAAAACCTTGTGCGACCGAACGACCCGAATGCTAAAATTTGACGGTGCAGAGACCAGCATCGGGAGGGGTTCCGCGTCCAAGGCAGTTCGCGCTTTTTGGGCCCCAGGGCTCCTCCTCCTCCTCCTCCTCCTCCTCCTCCTCCTCCTCAGCTCTCCATCCCCCCCGTCCACATGCTCGTCCTCAAACATTTGTTCTCTTCACCCTCTTCCTCCTGTTCCTACTCAACCCTCCCTCTCCCGCTTCCCGTCGGGGGGGGGTCTGCTGGGACAGGGGGAGAGCGCAGGTGGACGCGGACTAGCTCGGATGGAGGAAAGGGTGGAAGACGGGAGCGCCCATGGGGAGGAGAGGGGGGGGGAAGGGAAGGGCACTGGGCAACGGTGAGGGGCGGGAGGGGAAGGCGGAGGCGGGCGAGGGGCGAGAGGCGGAGGGGCAACGAAGGGCAAGCCGAGGCACGGGGCTGTCTCTCGCGCTGCTCGTCCTCCTTTCTGGGGCTGTGGAACCGCAGGCTCGAGGAGGAGCCGAACGAGACGTGCTCGGTCTTCGGGGCGCTGAACTGCTTGGCGACGGCCATCGCGCTCGCGCCCGCCTCTCAGGAAAGGGTTACCCGGGGCGCGCGGCGACTCAGCTGGGGACCTGGCATCTCCAATGCGTCGCAGGGGAATCCCCGATCGCAAGATGGTCGGCGCCCTTCCGCGACGGCCGTTCACCCCTACTTTGGGGGCCGAGTGGGCCAGCTTGTGCCGACGTATCCCCCCCGCCGCCTCCGTCCCCCTCTCCCTGTCCGCTGCACCCCCCCTTCCTCTCCATCTCCCCATCCAAACCTCTCCCCAACTATGTGCCCCCCTCTCCCCCTCTCCCCCCACTCCCCGAACCCCTTCCCCTTCTGCACTCCCTCGTACCCTTCCGCCCTCTCTAGGGGAACATCAACTGTGTAAACATGACCTTTCGGACTTGCGAGCGGGCTTCTTTGATCGGCGCTGGACCCCCCATCCTCAAGGCGCCTCTAGCGCATCCAAGAAACCCGCGCGGATCTCCGACAAATCATGTTTGTGCTGGTTTTCCCTACAGAATATCATTCTCCACTCCCTCCCTCCCCGCCCCCCAAGGCCTAGAAGTTATATCCGAATCAATGAGGTCCGAGTAGATGGGGTCGGAGGATGGCGCCGCATCGCGGATACATCGGCCATGCATCGATGCATCGGCGACATCAGCGATGCATCGGCGCCGTCGGCGTCAAGAAAGGGCTGCACATGGAGCCGCATCGCTGGTGCGTCGCGATGCGGCGCGATCCTCCGAACACGTCTGCTCGGACCCGAGTAGGGAGGCCTGGAGATCTCCTCCTCCCCTCCCTCCCCCCCCCTCCCCCTTGAGCAGGGACCGACCGTCCCGGCATTCCGATAGGCCTACCACGAGATGTTCTTAGAACCCAAGAAATGTTTGAAGAACAAAAACGAGGTCCTTAGAACCAGCCCCAGCCAAAAATGCTCTAAGAGCATCCCAGCATCCCGCGGAAACCACAAGAGGCTCTTAGAACATTCCTTGGCAGGCCTACATAGGCACGCCAGGACGCCTCGCCACGACTTGACCCCCCCGCGGCCGAGCCGTGGGGCCTTCGGCGGCGCGCTGGCGCCTGGGTCGTACGCGCCGGGCCCGGGCGGCAAGCTCTTGGTCGGCATGCTCGCGCACTGCGGCACCGCGGACTTCAGCGCGGCCCCGCCCGGGTTCGTCCGCGTGGGCGGCCCGGCGCGGGTGGGCTGCACCCGGAACGCGACGCCGTCCGGCTGGTTGTGCCCCGGCGCGGGAGCCTCCTCCGCCTCGGATCGGCGGGCCCTCGCCGCGCTTGCGAGCCCAATCCCGACCCCCCCGTGCCCTGCAGCGCAGCGGCATGCCATTCGATGCTATGTTATGTGCCGCTGTGCGATGCCATGCCTTGCGCAGCACCGCTATGTTATGCAATGCTTGCCTACGCAATGCTATGCCGTGCTATGCATCGCGTACCCTCTGGGGATCGCTGTCTTCTTCGACATCCGAATGTACTAGTAGAGAGGGGCTCTACGCAATGGTAGGGATGGGAGAGAGGAGCAGGAGGTCAGATACGACGCGAGCGCACCTGGCTTGCCCCCTCCTCCTCCTCCTCCTACCCCCCCCTCCCGCGAAGGACGGAGGGGAGCAGCGGTGGCGACGGGGGGGGAGGGGAGCCTCCTCCTCCTCCTCCGCCTCCTCCTCCGCCTCCTCCTCCGCCCGCACAGTTCCCAGCCGCCAGGGGCACCCGGGGGGCCCGGGACCCGTGGAGGCGCCCACCTGGCCAGGGCAGGGGAAGGGGCGGGGCGTGCCTGCCGCTCGCGAGCCCCTGCGCCGGCCTGGCCAGGATCGGTGCCAGTGGACAGCGTAGATGGAGCATCATACGTTTGGTGTGGCCACCCGTTGCCATCAGAAACGCGCGTTGTTCCTCAATGGCACTCAGGTAGCCAGAAAAAGCGAACGTGAGATTAGGCTCCCAACCAGCCTGTGGTGTTTGGGTCCGCGCTTTGACGAGACAACGCCCCGCGGTCCTCCTCCTCTCCTCCTCCTCCCCCTCCCTCCTCCCGTCACCCCTCACTTTGGCACCAATCACACGTTTCGTGGCCCTAAGGGGGCTCCACCGAAGGCCCAAGTGCTACCGCCCGCATGCGACACCCCCCACCCAATACACCGCTTCGTGGCCACATAAGGAGCTCCACCGAAGGTCCCAGTGCTACCGCCCGCATGCGCCCCTCACACCCCATACAGCCCTTCGTGGCACCATGGGAAGCTCCACCGAAGGTCCCAGTGCTACCGCCCGCGTGCGCCCACCCCCACCCGGTACAACGCTTCGTGGCCCCGCCCATTGCAACTGTTCGTGGCCCCGTAGGGAGCTCCACCGACGGTCCCAGCGCTACCGCCCGCATCGTCCCCCCCACCCTGTACAGTTTCGTGGCCATATAGGGAGCTCCACCAACAACCCATGTGTTACCGCCTGCGTGCGTCCCCGCCCCCCCCCACACGCCCAAGATAGCGTTCCTCCGGCGCTACCGCCCGCATGAATACCCCTACCCAATACACCGCTTCGTGGCGCCATAGGGAACTCCACCGAAAACCGTCCGCATGCGCTTACCACACCAAATACAGCGCTTCGTGGCCCCATAAAGAACTCCAGCGAAGATCCGTGTTACCGCCCGCATGCGTCTCCCCCACCCACTGCACCGCTTCGTGACCCCATAGGGAGCTCCACCGAAAGTCCCAGTGCTACCGCCCCGCCCGCATGCGTCCCCCCCGGCTCAACGCTTCGTGGCCCCATAGGGGAACTCCAGCGACGGCCACACGTGCTACCGCCCGCATGCGCCCCCCCCAACCACCACAGCGCTTCGTAGCCCCTTAGGGAGCTCCACCGAAGGTCTCAGTGCTACCGCCAGCATGCGCCCCCCCACACCCACCCAGCGCAGCGTTTCGTGGCCCCACAATGATCTCCACCGACGGCCCCAGTACTACCGCCCGCATGCGTCCCCCTTGCCCAGTACAGCGCTTCGTTGCCAATAGTGGGCTCCACCGACGGCCCCAGCGTTTCCGCCCGCATGCGCCTCCCACCCAATACGCCGTTTCGTGGCCTCGAAGGGAGCTCCGCTGACGGCCCTAGCGCTACCGCCCGTATGCGTCCTCCCCGCCCAGCACAGCGCTTCGTGGCCACATAGGGAGCTCCACCGAAGGGCCCAGCGTTGGCGCCCGCTTGCGTGCCCCCCACTCATACACACACACAAGTCATACGCCAAAGGCACGTGGATGCTGACAGCACTGCACAACGCGGCGCTTCCACACGCGTCGATCATGCACAAGGTCAGAACTCAGAAGGGCACGCAATGATTCTCTCTGTACCAAGGTCGCCCACTCGTTGCGCGGACGGCCACGTCGCCTGAGCTGCCGCTGCGAAGCCGGAATTGTCGCGTCCGGGATGAAGGTGTAGGCGCGAAGCACATTTGCGGCGGGAGATCTGACGACCCCCCGTAGAGCAGCAATTGCTCTTGCAACAAACGCTCGTCCAAAGGTTGGCAGCCGACTCTTTGGAGCACTTTTTATGGAAATACGAGACACGTGAGACAATGGCATGTGCAAACTTGATCCCAAGCAGCGGCACTAGAAAACATTCAGTCTCCGGGTCTCTGCGGCGTTCTACCACGCGGACTGGAAGCCGTACATGATCTTCGAGATGACTGAATCGAAAATGCGAATTTCTGTAATGCGTGATGCGTGGCTCCACAATCTTTTCAATGCTGTGAAATTTACACACCCTTGTGCGAAAAAACTCCGGCACGATTCGGCCGTCCGCGTAGATCCCCACGCCCAGGTAGGTCACGCTGTCCTTCATGGGAATAGCGTCCGCGGTCGGCGCCCAGCCCCCCCCGCTCCGATCAGCCGAAAATTCGACCACGGAAGCGCCATGCCGCACTGGCCGCCCAGGTGCACAACAGAATCCAGCATTTCTTGTAATCGGGCTTGACTGCGGCCTGCCAGGAGGATGTCGTCTGCATATAAGATGCACTCCATGCGCCCGGCTTCGAGATCCCCGCGGATCTCTGGCGAGAGTCTGGCAGACGCATCGTGGACGATCACTGTCATGAGCATCACGATCAAGAAAGGGGACGGCGAGCATCCTTGAGAAATGCCAGACGTTTGCTCTCGGCTGTCCGACTCTGCGTCGCCATCGACTAGGCAAAAGCGGCGCTCCAAACATATGTGTTGCACCATGCGAGCATACTTCTCTGGTAACCCAAACCAGCGGAGGGCCACCATGACCGCGTCCACGCTAATAGAGTCGAACGCCCTCTGCCGGTCTAGTGCCACAGTGCCGACTTGCCCTTCCTTCCAAGCCAACTTCATATCAATGCGCCGGCGCACCATGAAAATTGCGTCTGTGATGCTCCCTCCAGCCAATACGAAAGCCGAAATGTGTGTTCGTCAGCCGTCGCCCCGCCCCCGCCTGCTGCATCTTTTTCGAAAGGATGGAAGGGAAAAGTGTGCAGGTTTTGCAGATGAGACTGATTGGCCAGTAGTTGTCGCAGAGCGCGACGTCTCCCTTCTTGCGCAGGGCCATCACGTCTGCATAGTGCCAGTCCTCGGGGATGCTCGCTTCTAGCCAACATTCGTTGCACACGCGCGTGAGCCAAGTGAGGATCTCTGCCTTGTTCGCGACTGCGTGCCAATACTCGCTGTAAACGCCATCTGGCCGACGTGCTCTGTTCTTCTTCATTAAACTGCGAAGGGCGTCCCCCACTTCCTTCTCCGTGATATCCCCAAGGTCGGTTTGCAATTCGTCTCCCAATTGCTCGCCGTCGGTCGCTGCTGCCAGTCTGACGTGCCACTGGATTTGTTCGAAATGTTCGGCCATGGTGTCCGCCCACATGCCGCTGTCAACCATGGCGCCGCTCGTGTCCTTCGGCTTGCCTTTTTTCTCGGTTTCCGCGGATTCCGGTAAACCCGAATGCTCTGCCAGGCCCCTGTCGCGAGCCGATTGTCTAACCAATTGGGTGTGTCTCTCTTGGCCATGTTCAGGGCCGTCTTGTGTAGCTCGCGCTCCAAAGTTGTGTCTCTGGCTTCTCTCGCAGCACGCTTGCGGTCCAATACGACCAACGTCTCCTCGGAGGTCCACGGCCTGTTCGCTTTCCGGGAAGGTGCTGGCAGCGTGGCCTTTGCAGCTGCCATTGCCCGGCCTGTGGCCGCCCATGCTCCTGGTGTGGTGCTGTCGTTCTCGACAGCAACACGGTCGCAAAATGCTGCAGCAAACGCTCGTTGGACATCCTTCTGCTCCAAGGCTGCCGCGCCCTGTCTGCGCGAACGGGAGGGTTTGCTGATACTCCGCCACGGCATCTTCACCACGGCCTGCACTAGAAAATGATCCGTTTCCAGGGCGAATTCGCGGATGGACCTCAACCCCTGGATGCGGCTGAAGAGCTCCCAATCACACAACAACAGATCCAACATGTTAAAACCTTGCTCCGTCCCAGGGTCTGCCGACGTGACCCCAGGCCCCATGAAGGTGGCCTTGCTCTCTGACTCCCCGGGGACGAAAGTGCTCGCCACCACCAAGCTGTTAGCCAGGCAGAGCTCCACCAGTAGATCCCTGTTCGGAATGCCAGCGTCATGGCTGGCCCAGGTGCAGAAGACACACCTAACAACGATGTGCTCTTCACCGGGCTCGCTGTCCCCAAGTCTTGAATTCAAATCCCCGAAAATGAATTTCCCTCGGTCCGCCGAACACCGCCGGTACTCAGCATCTCGTCGAGGTCCCGGCCATTATGAAAGGCATAGGCGCACACGATGCCCATGGTGCCCCCCTGAACCCGCAACTTCACGCAGCAAATCCAGTCAGGTACTCCTTTGTACGAGCGCACCGATGTACACGCCCACTCAGTGCAGCGCTTCGTGGCCCCGGCAGGAGCTCCACCGACGGCCCCAGTGGCACCGTTCGCATGCGCTCCCCCCACCCAGTACAGCGCTGCGTGGCCCCATAGGGAGCTCCACCGAAGGCCCCAGTGGCACCGTTCGCATGCGTCTCCCCCGTCCATTAAGGCGTTTCGTGGCCCCATAGGGAGCTCCACCGACGGCCCCAGTGGCATCGTCCGCATGCGTCTCCCCTACCCAGTGCAGCGCTTCGTGGCCCCGTAGGGTGCTCCACCGAATGCCCCAGTGGAACCGTCCGCATGCGCCTCCGCCACCCAGCACAGCGCTTCGCGGCCCCATAGGGAGCTCCACCGACAGGCCTCAATGGCACAGTCCACATGCGTCTCCCCCGCGCTTCGTGGCCCCGTCAGGAGCTCCACCGAAGGCCGCAGTGGCCCAGTTCGCATGCGTCCCCCCCGCCCAGCACAGCGTTTCGTGGCCCTTCGGGAGCTCCACCGAAGGCCCCACAAGAGAAGTTCGCACACGTCTCTCCCACCCAGTACAGCAGTACAGCCTTTCGAGGCCCATGGGGAGCTCCACCGAAAACGATGCCCACAACTGCGGTACTCACAGCTGCATATGGTTGGGTCCTTCGCCAAGCCAATCTTCATAACCGAAACCGACAAGCAATCGCCACAACAAACGTGTGATGCTCCGTCTGAACACAATTATCCAACTGCGACCCTACCTAGGAGTTGGAGCCTCTACGAAAGCAACATTAGTAGGAGCGGTAAACGCCGTCCTCCTCCTTCTCATCGTCGTAGTTGTAGCAGTAGCAGTAGCAGTAGCAGTAGTAGTAGTAGTAGTAGTAGTAGTAGTAGTAGTAGTAGCAGTCGTAGTAGTAGTAGTAGTCGTAGTAGTAGTAGTAGTCGTAGTAGTAGTAGTAGTAGTAGTAGTAGTAGTAGTAGTAGTAGTAGTAGTAGTAGTAGTAGTAGTAGTGATAGTGGTAGTGGTAGTAGTAGTAGTAGTAGTAGTAGTAGTAGAAGAAGAAGTAGAAGTAGAAGAAGAAGTAGAAGTAGAAGTATAAGTAGAAGTAGAAGTAGAAGTAGTAGTAGTAGTAGTAGTAGTAGTAGTAGTAGTAGTAGTAGCGCCAGAACCGCCGACGCCACGCCGTAAGTGAAGCAGCAGGACGCCGCGGCGACGGCAAGGGCGCCCTCGGCGGCAGCCCCGCTCTGCTCGGGGGCGCGCTGGTAAAGAAGTGGTAGTACTGTTAGTAGTAGTAGTAGTAGTAGTAGTAGTAGTAGTAGTAGTAGTAGTAGTAGTAGTAGTAGTAGTAGTAGTAGTAGAAGAAATAGAAGTAGAAGTAGAAGTAGAAGTAGTAGTAGTAGTAGTAGTAGTAGTAGTAGTAGTAGTAGTAGTAGTAGTAGTAGTAGTAGTAGTAGTAGTAGTAGTAGTAGTAGTAGTAGTAGTAGTAGTAGTAGTAGTAGTAGTAGTAGTAGTAGTAGTAGTAGCGCCAGAACCGCCGACGCCACGCCGTAAGTGAAGCAGCAGCAGAAGCAGGCAGCAAGTCGCCGAGACAGCAGCAAAAGCAAGCAGGCACGGAGATGAGGGCGGGGCACTGGGGAGTTATTTACATCTACATCTATATCTACACCTACATCTACATCGACACCTAAATCTACATATAGGCCTACATCTACATCTACACCTACAGCTACATCTACATCTACACCTGCATCTACATCTACATCTACATCAACAGCGAGACTCACATCTACATCTACATCTACACCTACATCTACACCTACATCTACATCTACATATACACCTACATCCACATCTACACCCACACCTCCATCTACATCTACATCTACACCCACACCTCCATCTACATCTACCCACACCTACATCTACACCCACACCTCCATCGCATTGGTTTTGCTGTTGCCTTGCATTGCCTTTGCTTTTGCTCTTGCCTTTGCCTTTGCCTTTACCTTTGCTTTTGCTGTTGTTTTTGCTATTGCTTTTGCTTTGCTTTTGCTCTGCTCTGCTATGGTATGCTATGCTGCGCAATGCTATGCTGGGCTATGCTATGCTATGCTATGCTGCACTATGCTATGCTGCGCTATGCGATGCTATGCTATGCTATGCTATGCTTTGCTATGCTATGCTTTTGCTTTGCCTTCGCTTTTGCCTTCACTGTTGCCTTTGCTTTTGCTTGTGTTTGGCACCCAGGGAGCGCAACTGGGGGAACCGCGCGTTTGCTTTTACCTTTGCTGTTGCTTTTGCTTGGCTCCCAGGGGACCGGGGGAACCGCCCGGGGCGATTTCCACTGCCCGGCCCCTTTAAGCCGACAGAGTAAGAACCCTTCTAGGCAGAGCCTAGGTAAGGAAAAAAACGGGTCTCACGCACGATAAAACCACGACCTCACGCGGTGGCTTACGCGGGACGCCAGCGCGGCAAGCTGCACCGCAGACGAAGGCGCTGACGCGCGCGACCTTCCATGGCAACTACAGTCAAAACGTATAGGAAGGACGCGTGGTAAGGACGCAAGACCCTTGGAGGCTGAAGTTGGGATTTTTGTTGGGCGGCGGCGACCAGTGAAAACGGCAAAGGACGGGCCGCAGAGGCAAGGACGCAAGGGTATCCTAGATGAAGGCGCGCGTCCTTACTAGGCGCGTTGACTGTAGTGCGCGACGGTCTGCGCAGTCGAGCCAGTCCCCCTGCGCCGCTCAAGACTGGCGCCCTCCGAGCAGGACTGGCTGCCAGACCGGCGGGCGCACCTCGCCATCGCTCGGACGTCCATTCCCTGTGCTTTTCTCGGTTCCGTGCGTGGTTTTTTTTTTCTCCCCCAAATGATCCAGGATGCTCCTCGATGGCCCCCACCGAGGAAAAAATGCACACGTCCGAGCGATGCCAAGGCAGCGATGACCCCCCCCCCCCCTGGGTGCGCCTCCTGCTCGACGAGCGTGCGGGCGAAGCGCTCGCCGCGGCTGCTGCAGCCGAAGACGCCCGCCTTGCCGATCCGGGCCTGCTCCTTCAGCCGCGTGGAGGACATGGACTGGCCCAGGGACTCGCCTCGGGTGCAGGGGCCCAAGGACACACAAACAAATATATACACAGACACAAGGACCCCCATCTTTCCCCACATGTTCTGGACTTGTGTCTTCCCCCCCACCTCCCATGTTTTCCCGTAGTTTCCCAATGTTTTCCAATGTTTACCCATGTTTTCTGGGGAATCGACGATTCATTGTGTCTGTGTGTTTTTTTTTCCCTCCCGATTGGGGCGCGCCGCCGACGGGGAGCCCACGGAAGACGCACGCTGCCCCCCGGCCGCGCGCGCACGCGAGCGCGAGGCCCCCCCCCCCTGTCCGCGAGGCCAGCCTCCTGTCACTGAAGGGGCCCTGGGACACACAAATTCGCCGGCCCAACGGGCCAGGGCGTGCTAAGATCTCCGGTACCTGGTTAACAGTATTTCTAGTTCGCGCGCAAGGGGCGGCCCCTGGGGGTCCCCGGACGAAAAGTACCCCGGCAAGGTCCCGGCAAGTCCCCGGCAAGTCCCCGGCAAGGTCCCGGCAAGGTCGGGCCAGAGATGCCGGAGCCCTGTTACAGGGCCCCAGGACGGGCCAAGAGGTCCCCAAGAAGCCTCCAAGACGGTCCAAGAGGGCCCCGAGACGGCCAAAGATCGCCCGAAGACGCCCAACAGGGCCCCAAGACAGCCCAAGAGGCCTCCAAGACGCCCCAAGGGCCTTCCAAGAGGCCTCCGAAGAGGGCCCCAAGAGGCCAAAATCGTTGATTTTCATTGTTTTTTATATGTTTTTTGCGTTCTGGCTTTTTCGGCTTCCGGACGCTCCAAGACGGCCCAAGAGGCCCCCAAGACCGCTCCAAGACGGCCCACGAGGCTCCCAAGACGGCCCCGGAACGGCCCAGGAGGGCCCCCAAGACGGCCCAAGTGCCGCCCAAGACGGACCAAGAGGCCCCAAGACGGGCCCAAGAGGGGCTCAAGAGGGGAACCGAGAACTGAAAAATCGAGCCCTCCGCCCCAGAAGGCGCCCAGGAGGCCCCAAAAAGGCCCCAAGAGGCCCCCAAGAGGCCCCCAAGACGCCCCAAGAGGCGCCCAAGAGGCCCAAAAGAGCCCCCAAGAGGCCCCAAAACAGCCCCCAAGAGGCCCCAAAACTCGGCTAGCCCACAACGGTGCGACAATATGGGCCGGCGGAATGAGCGAAGCGATTAAATAAATACACACAAATAAACATATTCTCCACATTTTCATATATATATATATATATATATATATATGCATATATATATATATATATATATATATGTGTATTTATATATATATATAATATATTATGCTGAAAGCCTAACCCCGCTCGACCAGAGAAGACGGCGGTGCACGGCGAAGCCGAGTGCAGAGAAAACGTGTTTTCCACAGCCTGCATCGTGCCGCCGAAGGCGGCCATCATCCAAGAGGCAATCGCTATGAAACACAGAACATTGCACGTGCACACAAGCGATGCTGAAACAAAGCCCCGGTGGTGGAGGGCGATGGCGGACGGTGCCGAAAGAACTTGAGCACACGCAGTTGCGGTCGAGCTCAAGTGAGAGATGAGGCACAATTATCTTCAAAGAAAGTCATTATGCTGAAAGCCTAACCCCGCTCGACCAGAGAAGACGGCGGTGCACGGCGAAGCCGAGTGCAGAGAAAACGTGTTTTCCACAGCCTGCATCGTGCCGCCGAAGGCGGCCATCATCCAAGAGGCAATCGCTATGAAACACAGAACATTGCACGTGCACACAAGCGATGCTGAAACAAAGCCCATATCCGCCCATACTGGGAGCTGGTGAGCAGGACAGCTCACCTCTCTGAGCGGCCGCCGAAGACGAAAGAAGATTTGGCGGCCAGCCTCCTGCCGACACGAGCGGCGTCTGACAGCTGGCCTTGGGACAACTTGGCGAGCTGGCGTGTGAGGCGGCCGGCCTTCTCATAGCGTCGCACGCTGGCGGCGCACTTCCAGCGGCCCCGCCGCTGCACCTCCGCCAGGGAGCGATGCTTCAGCGCAAAATCCGTCGAGGCCCCGCCATGCCGAAGGGAGTGCGGGCAGAGACGGAGGCGCTGCAAGCCGGCAGCGTCAGCCGCCTCACGGAAGGCGACCTCGAACTCACGGTGACTGAACGGGAAGAGCGGTCTGGTCGGCGGCGTGGCGGCCTTGAGGTCCCGCAGGAGCTTGGCCACCCAGCGCCGCGAGATGCCGGCGCTGCCGATGCCGCCGAAGGTAACCGTGTCGTCGTACTCGCCGGCCTTCGTCGTCACAGACGGAGGGCAGTCCGCCGGGGCGGCCGGCATCAGGGTGACCGAGACCTGGGGGTAGGCCGACGTCGCGGAGTGGCGGAGGCAGGTCACGTCGCAGGCCTTCAGGTGGAGCAGCTCCGAGAGGCGCAGGTAGCCGTCGAAGGCCACGGCGACGCCGGCCCCCACGAGCTGCTGGCGCGGGTTGTGGGAGGCGAGGCACTGATCGATGATCAGCAGCGCCGCCTCCCAGGGGCAGGGGTCCCTCTGCTCGCCGGGCGACGCCTTCGCGAAGCCCTTCAGCGTGAGGCGGGCCTGGGGGAACTCCGTGACGTCCCTGAGGTTGACCCGCTCCTCGAACGCGTAGCCGTAGAGGGCGGTCCGCGCGGCGAAGATCCCGTCCCCCGCCAGGAAGATGCTCTGCAGGTAGTCCACCATCAGCTTGTCCCTCTGAGCTGGCGTGGCCAGCGGGTACCGGTGCTGAATCGCGAAGCGCCGGACCTCGGCCGCAGCCCGGGCGTAGTGCTGCTGGGTCAGGGGCTTCACGCGGCGCCGAGCCAGGAAGTCCTCGCGGGCCACGTCGTTGTTGGCGGCCCGCTGCGAGCCCACAGCCAGGCGCGAGCGGCGGCGCGGGGCCCCGCGGCCCAGGGGGTGCCGCGGCTCCGCGCCGGGGCGCTGGGCCAAAGCGGCGGCGGCGATCCCGCTCGGCCGCCCTCGCCTGCGCCGCGCAGCTGCCCCAGCCCAGCTGGTCGGGCGACCACTCCTGGTGGCCCGCGGCGGGGCAGACGGGGTCTGGCGTGCGCGTCCAGTCGTCGCACTCGGCGGCGGCTGCCAGCTGAGCCTCCCCTCGGCATTCAGGGCGAGCACCATCGAGGCGGCCTGCCGCGGGAGCGCACTCGCGGAGGATGCTAGCCCACTTCCGAGCCAACGCCTCCGGATAGCGACCGGCTAGGCTGGTCTTCCAGACGGAGGCACCCTTGGGACCCAGACGAACCTTGCCTGCAAGGACCTCGTGAACGTGATCACGGGAGCAGCTGGCCTCGAGGGCCTGAAGCGGCTTCAGGTTGGTGACAAGGGTGGTGGGCTTCAGGTAGCGGCAGTTGTAGTGGCAATAATGCATATAAACGAAGTAGTGACAGTGACGATCCAAGAAAGATGTGACCTCGGGAGAATGCCAGAGACGTGAAGAAGAGGGATTCTCGACGGACCAGCGCACGCCAAATCGCTCACACAGGCGAAGCATGTCTATGGTGAACGAAACCGAAGCACTACCAGAGGCAAAATGCTTGGCCCGGCTGCGCGCCGGGGTGGCCAGGCTGAAGGGGGTGCACGGCGTGCCGAAGTGGACGTACCACACGTCCCTGCGCACGATCAGGGAGCGGATCACGCTGATGATGCGCTTGTCGGACAGGTCGTGCCAGGGCCCCCGCGAGATGTCGACTGGGACCCACGACTGCAGCCCCGCGTCGAGGCAGGCGGCCGTGAGGCGGGCGCAGCCGGCGTAGAGCTCGAGCACGTGGCGCGCCCGGCGCCGCTCTCGCGGCCGGGCGCCCAGGCGGTGCGGGCCCGCGCCGCCGGCCGGCGAGGCGGCCGGCGCTGGGGGCGGCGCCGGGGCCAGGTCGCGCGGCGCCCCGCGCTGCGTCTGGCCCGGCTCGAGCTCGAAGCGGTCGGCCGCCCGGGAGTCGTGGTCGGTCGGGTTGCGGCTGCTCTCCGAGTACCGATGGTAGTGCTGGATGCCAGTGGCGATCTGCCGCGCGGCAGCCTGGCAGGCCAGCTGGCGGAGCACCGGGTTGGCACAGCGGCCCTTCTCGAAGGCCATCATGGACGAGAGGTTGTCGCCGATGGACAGGACGCGGCAGCCGTGAGCCGCCACGGAGCGGGTGGCCCGCCTGAGGCCCAGCAGCGTCGTCCGGCCCTCGAGGATGTGGATCGGGGCCGCGAAGAGAAAGGCGCCGCGGACCACCAGCTGCCACCTGTGAGCTGCGAGGGCGGCGTCGGGCAGCGCCGGGATGCCGCCTCTGCAGGCGGCGGAGGCCGGCGCCTCCACGTCGACCCGAGCCGCTCGGCTCCGCCGTGCTGCCAGGCACGGTGACGACCGACCCGCACGGGGCGGCAAATCCAGCCCGGCGAACACAGCGGCGTCGTCGGTGCCGGCAGTGAAGCCGGCCTGCGTGGCAACCTCAGTACCCGGCGGATCGCCCGGGTCATCAGCGTGGCGGTCGATGGCGACGAAGCGCCAGCGCTCGCGGTAGGCGCCGATGTCCCTGAGTTCGCTCTCGTCGAAGCGTGACGTGGCCAGGGCGTAGCCCCACAGGCTAGCGTCAGAGCAGTAGGCCCACGGGTGCCATGGTGCGCCGAGGTCCACACCAGCGAGCGGAATGAGGGCCTTGACAAGCCCCAGCTCGCGCAGCTGCTCGGCGTCGAAGTGGCAGTAGTCGCCCGGCGCGTACACGACACGGTACAAGGAGCTCAGGACAGCGAGGGCCGGCCTCATGAGCATGAAGTGGTGCACGACGTGCCCCAGCACAACCTCCATGGCCGCAGGCGTGCAGCCGCGGCGGTCGATCAGGGCGGTGACCGCCCGATGCAGCCGCCAGGCCCGCTCGCGCTGCGGCACCGCGCGGCCGTCGCAGAAGTCGAACCGAACCCCGCAGCAGACGAAGTCCCGCGTGGCGTAGCACACCTCGTGGTAGGCCAGGCCGCGGCGCTCGAACTCGAGCAGGATAGCCTCCAGCGCCGCGTCGACCAGGCGGCGCGGCGACCCGACGACATTGGCGTTGTCGACGTAGGAGGCCCCAGCGAGCTCGCCCGCGCCGAGGCGCGCGCAGGGGGAGCGCTCGGAGACCATCCTGACCTCCTCGGGCGCGATGGACAGCGCCCGACTGATGCCGATGCGAGTGACGTCCTCGGTGATGCCGTTGCAGATGAAGAGCGACCAGCTCCAGCCCATGGCGAGGCCCTGGAAGCACGGGTAGACCACGGTGTCGGGATCGACCTGCACGAAGCGGCGGTGCACCTCGTCGTACACCTGGTCCGTGTCGAAGTTGCGGATGGGCATGGGGTAGTCGAAGCAGAACCAGCTGCCAATCTCGAGCCACTGCATCTGGTAGAAGCCCTGGCGCAGGTCAGCGCTGGCCCCGTGGTAGCCCTGCCCGCCGCTGCCCAACAAGCCCGCGTCGAGGCAGAGGCCGCTGAGGGCCGCCGCCGAACCGAGCTCGGTCCGAGGCGGGCGGCGATGCAGAGCCGAAGGCTCTCGGCCGTCAATCACCATGCGCAGCGAGCCGTCCTTCTTGCCAACGAAGAAGATGCTGGCGCGGGCACGGCAGCGCGTGCGCACACCGACGAGGCCAATGCGCATGAGCTGCTTGAAGAGGCCCAACCGCAGGACCGGGTCCCGCCGCAGGTTCGCATCCCAGTAGGGGTAGATGGGGGGGAGCTCGCCGGCCTCCACCATGCTGTCGAGGACCGCCTGCGACCGAAAGATGTGCTTCTCCGGCTCGTTGATCAGCGGTAGCAGCCAGGGCGGCACCAGCGAGCGGATCGGCTGCGGCGAGATGCCGCTGTCGAGAACCTTGAGGAGGCGCGGCTCATAAGGCCGAACTGGGGTCGGCCGGCCGCTGTAGACGTCCTTGGACTTCAGGAGAGAACAGAGCGCGTCATCACCGTCCACGCCGATGGGGTCGCCGAAGGCGGCCACTCGCTGATGGACGCGCTGCAGTACAGATGCTTGGGCGGCGTTCGCCGGGAGGACCGAGGCGAGTCGCCGCGCAGCCGCCAGCGGGGCGTCCAGGTCGTTCAGAGCCATGATCGCCTGGTTGCACCGCCGCCGCACGCCGGAGGAGAGGCTCAGGGGCAGCACCTCCCTCGGCGTCGATCTGCCCAGGAGCGGCAGAGGAAAGGGGTCGCCGTGAGCGCGACCCGTCAAAAATCGAGGAGCCCCTTCGGCATCAGGTCCCCTCGTGCGCCCGCCTGCGAAGCGGACTGCGGAGGTGTCGTTGGCCGAACGGCGCCGGGGCGAGCGCCGTCTCTCCGCAGCCCGCGCGACAGGAGTCATCCCTGCGCGGCGGCCGGGGCGTCACCCCGACCGCCGCGTCCGCCACCACCTGCACGGCCGCGCCCGCGGCCCCGGAAGCGCCCAGCGCCGCCGTCCTCGCCGCCAGCGCCGCCGCCTGCGTCGTCGCCTGAGCCGCGGCCCCGGGAGCGCGTGGACTGCTCCTCGCGCCACTGCCGCTGCTGCTTCAAAGTGAAGGCCTCGTCCTTCTGGATCTGAGCGATGTACTTCGAGTACTCGGGAAGGACGAGGCCGCCATACTCATTGACCGTAGAGGCCACCACCGCGTCCAGGTCCTGGAAGTCGGGGCTGCGAGGGTTGCGGGCCACCGCCATCTCGATCTGCACGAGGTAGCGGACCAGGATCTCGACCCCTGAGAGGCTGGGCAGGTTCAACATGTCCTGCTGCCGGAAGGCGTGCAACGCCTCTGTGAGCCTACGATGTGCACGCGTGATGTTGCTGTTGGGCGAGATGCCCGACTTGTGGATGAAGTCCAGGTGGTGCGACATCCACTCCATGCCCGTGGCGCGGAGCGTCTTCACGAACTCGTGGGTGACCCGGCTCCCGCTCAAGGGGAAGGGCGGCTCGGCCGCCGCGTGCTGCAGCCCGAAAGAGTCGGCAAAAGAGATGAAGCGACGGCCTGAGACGGGCTCGCGGGCGTCGCCTGTCACGCGATCGTCCCGCCGATTGCCAGAAACCAGCGCCCGCTCCCAGGCAGCACGGTCGTCGTCGGCCACGAGCTGGCAGAAGGTCCAGCATTTGTCAATCAGCACGAGCCCGCTCAGGTAGTCCTCGTCGGCCGCCGCCTCAGGCGTCATGAAGGTGGCGCGGTCCGAGAGGATCTGGGCCGGCACCTCGTCGCCGAAGCTGCGAGCGGCGGGGTCGGCCACACGCCACACCCCCACGCCGCCCGGGGCCGCTGGGCCCGCTGGGGGTGCCTGGCCCAGCACGGCCGCCAGGGCGGCCGCCTGCTGCCTGACGCGCGTCAGGTCGGCGTCGGGGATGGGGTTGTCGAAGACGTACGACTCCGCCCACTGCGCCGGGGGGTAGGGCTGTCCCCGGGCGAGGGCGATCACACGATGCACATTCAGGTCGATCCGCTGGACCGAGAAGTCGGGAGTGCTGCCGATCCAGACCCCCGGCGTGGGCGTCTGGATGATGAGTAGCCGCGCGTGCCACCGCAGCCCGTTCTCGTCGTCCATGAAGTCGATGAGGACCTGCGCCTCGGGGACGTCTGGGACTCTACGATCCATCCTGCTCCAGCGAGCGGGCTCGCCGCTGACTCGGCGTCACGGGCCCTGGTGCGGGAGCCTGGCAGGCCGTCCCAGGGGCGGGAGCCGCTGGGGCCGCGAGCGCCGGCAGCAGCGCCGGCGGGGCCGACGGCTCGGCGCGGGCGGCGGGCGGCCTGGCGAAGAGCCGCAGGCGCCCGATGGCCCAAGCACCCACGGCCCCGGCCGCGGCGGACAGCCACACCACCAGCCAGCCCGGCGCAGCGGCGTGCGCGGGCGCCTCGGCGGGCTCGGTGTGGGAGGTGGCCGGCCCGCTGCACGTGAGCGTGCAGGTCTGGGTCGGGCAGGCCGGGCACGCGGGGCAGCCCGGCCCGCGCAGCAGCCAGACCTCGGCCAGCCGCACGCCGAGCCCCACCAGCTCCACGGCCGCGGCCATGCAGGGGCGCGGACGGGGCTCCTGCCGAAAGAACTTGAGCACACGCAGTTGCGGTCGAGCTCAAGTGAGAGATGAGGCACAATTATCTTCAAAGAAAGTCATATATACATATGTGTGTATATATATATATATGGGTTTTTGTCTTCCCCCCCACTTCCCATATTTTCCCATATTTTCTGGGGAATCACCGATTCATTGTGTCTGTGTTTCTTTCCCTCCTGAAATCCGTGCACACACACACACACGCACGCACGCACGCACACGCACACGCACACGCACACGCACACGCACACGCACACGCACACGCACACGCACACGCACACGCACACGCACACGCACACGCACACGCACACGCACACGCACACGCACACGCACACGCACACGCACACGCACACGCACACGCACACGCACACGCACACGCACACGCACACGCACACGCACACGCACACACGCACACGCACACGCACACGCACACGCACACGCACACGCACACGCACACGCACACGCACACGCACACGCACACGCACACGCACACGCACACGCACACGCACACGCACACGCACACGCACACGCACACGC